AAAAAAAAAAAAAAAAAAAAAAAAAAAAAAATAATAAAGCAAAATAGGAAATGTATTATTTTTTTGTCTTAATAAGTTATTTACAAGAAGATACAATTTTTTTACTAAAATATTAAAATATATTTATCTTTTTTTTGGAAAATTAAAATATTTCTAATTAATATTAATATATACAAATTATTTTTAGAGGATATATTTAAGAATTACTGTGTCTAATTATATAATTAAATGTATTTTATTTATATAATAATTATATACTCGAAAAATCATTTAATGAAAGAACATTTATATATTTTAGTTAAATAAAAACAATTTCTATTATTCTATTAATTTAAAGATTGCATATATATATATATATATATTTTTTTTCATTAGAACATATATACATATAACTTTTTACTGGTATTTTGAATTTAATTTAAAAATTATATTTAAGTTTTTTTAAGGATATAAATGAATGAAAAAAATTCTTGTAAACAGGATTCAATAAATTTTATAGTAAATGAAGAAGATGAGTTTTTAAACATATTTAATTATAAGAATGTAAAATGTTTTAAATCACCTCACTACATTTATATAGGACAAATTAAAAGTATAAATTAATTTTAAAAAGATGATGTGACAATAATATTTAACCAAAAAATTCCATAAAAAAAACTTTATAAAATTAAAGTAGTGTAAACTTATTTATTACTTAATTCTATAATTTTAAAAATATAATGTTGATAAAAAATATATATATATAAAGTTAAATAATCATTATAAATACATATAAATTCTTTTATTATTATTATTTTTTTTTTTGTTTGTTTTTTTTTTTTTTTTTTTCCACATAATAGAAGACAGTGAAAGTTTTTCAGGAAGGGAAAATATTTCTGATGATATTTACAAAAAAAATGATGATACAAAAAAAGATAGTACTAAAGAATATATATCTCATAAAGAAAAAGTAGATAAAAAAAAAAAAAAAAAGAATATTAAATTTATAAAGGAAGGATATGGAATTTTATTAAGTTTAAGAAAAAATATTTATGATGAGGAAATAATAGTAAATAAATTTATTGGAAATTGGAAAAATAATAAAAAAAATGGTTTAGGTTTTAACATTTTTTTTAATAAAAACATTTTCTATGGATATTATGAAAATGATTTAAGAAATGGATGGGGATATTTTGAATGGAAAAATAGTGGATCAAAATTTGAAGGTTATTGGTTAAATAATTTTATTAATGGTAAAGGAATATATAAAAATAAAAATTTTACTTACGATGGAGATTTCTACAATAATAAATTCATAAATTCATGTGGTGAATGGATAAACATTTTTGAACTGGAAGAAAACAATAAAATTCAAACAATCAACATGATCACCCCAAACAATATACATTTAATTTTATTACCATTTGATTTCATAAAAGTTCATTTAAAAATGATTGCTAATGTTATTAAGTATTCTTTCAACAAAATTCCATTTATTATGTGCTCTAAAAAATTCATTGAAAAAAATAAAAATTTCAATTTATCTAAATTTGTATTTTTAAGTTATTATTTTGATTCTTCTGAGTTGTTACAAGATTTTAACAGTGAGTTGTTTTTTGATAATTTTAAAAATATTAATAATGAGAATAAAAATATAGAAAATGTAGTAATTCAGAAATCAAGTTACGAGCATGATAATTTAAACTCTTCTGAATATTATACTGACTCTGAAATTAATAAAGAATTACATGGTTCAAATCATTCTAATAATTCTAATAATTCTAATAAATTTAATAATTCTAATAAATTTAATGATTCTGATCATTTAAAAGGCTCTTCTTATGAATCTGATAATTCAAAAAATTCTAATGAATCTGATAATTCAAAAAATTCTAATGAATCTGATGATTTTAAAGAATTTAATGACCCCAATGTATATAATAATTTTTGTGAATCTGATAATTCCAACAATTCTTATCAAAATGTTAATTATTCTAATGTTTCCAATTATTCTAGTGATTCTAACGATTCATTTAATTTTGAATTAAGAAAAAATAGATATTCAAATAATTCAAATTTAATTAATTTGAAAAGTGTTTGCATAAATAGAAATGAAAGTATTGAAAGTGAAATGAAAGAGTATTTAAAAAATGAATGTAAATCAATCGAATTAAAAGATAAAGGCTTGAATAATTCTGTATCAAAAAACAATGATAATTTAAAAGAAGAAAAAATTGATCATATTTCTATTAGTTTAGAAGAAAAAAGAAAACATAAAATGCACAATTTAATTAACAATTATTTAAATATTTATTTAGACACTGATGATAGTTCAAGTAATTATTCTATAATTTCTAATGAGATACAAAAATTAGATAACAGTGGAAATTCAATGAAAATAGATAAAAAGGAAAATGATGATGAGGAAAAAAACGATATAGATAAAAATCAAGAAAAACATAAAGAGGAAGAAGAAAAAGAACAGAAAAATGAAAGAAAAAAAAAGAAAACAAATAATAAATATGTAGAAATAATTAAAAAAAATAGTAAAGAATTCAAATATTTCTGTGTTAATAAAAAAATTGAAGAAGAACTATCAAAAATAAAAATAGACATTAGTCATATAATAAAAATTATAAATATGAATTTAACATGTGAATATATTATTAAAAAAAAAATAAAGAATTCCTTGCTACAAAAATATCCATTTATTTTTAATTTAAATATTAGCGAAAAAAAAAATAAATATGAAAACATAGATAATAACTTACTATTAGAGAATTGTAATATACCTGAATTATGGTTGTAAAATAATTAAAAAAAAGGAAAAGATAATAAATAATAATTTAAAAATAATTAATATATATATATATATATATTTAATTTTTTTTTTTTTAATAGGGATTTAAAGAACTATTTTTGTAACATTGCAACAAAACTACCTGAAGAAATATTAAGTCCTTTATATTTTGATTTAAACAATTTATATAAAAGCATTATAAGTTATTCAAAATTAGAAAAAAAAAATATGAATGATAACTTGAATGAAAATAAATTTTGTGAAAATTTTAGTTTTAATTTTTTTGTTATAACAGATTTATTAGTTGATGAAACAACAGATATTCATAATTTAAAAAATTTAATAAAAAATAGATTTAATAATTATTCATATTTAAACAGTTTATTTTTTGTTATAATTGAATAATTTTCTTTAAATTCATATATTATACTTGAAAAAAAAAAACTTCTAAAAAATATTAATCTTATATACGTTTATATATATAAAGAAGAAAAAAATATTAACATTGAATTCTTCAAAATATTAAAAAAATAAAGACACAAAAATCTATTAAAATTTAATAATGTGCTATATAAATTAGTTATACAATTATAAAATTTTTATGAAATAATTTAAAATAAATTTATATGAAGATAATAAGACATAAATAAATATATATAATTTTAAATAAATATAAAATTTATAAAAGTAGAGTATATTAAAATTGCATATATCTTCAATAATGTTAAAAAGTTTTCCATTTAAAATTTATAAGTAAAGAAATAAAAAATATAAACGAAATTTTTCAGAAAAGTATATTCCCTTAATGTTCATACACATTTTAAAAAAGAAAAAAAAAAAAAAAAAAAATTAAATGTAAATTTTATTTAAATGATTCAATCTTAATCTTCTTTCATTTTCTAATTTCATAATATAATTCCAATGATCTTTTGTTATTTCATCATATCCATCTGAAAAAGCTAAAATTCTAGACATACATATCCACGAATTTAGAATAAATTGATTTATTTCTTTGTTTTTTTGTCTCAAAGAAACAAATGATTCAGTAATATAATTAGTTACATCAGAGTTAATTTTTGCTGAATGATTTTTTGATAATAAATAATTTATGTATCTTCTAAATTGCATTAATTCGTTTTCATTAGGTTTATAATTTTCATTTGTGTTAATAAATTCCTTTGAAAAAATATTATTGTCAACTTTTTCATTTTCACCTATATTATCTTTATTTTCATAATATGTATCCATATTTTTTTTATTTACATTATTTTCTTTTTTATCAATTTCATATTTTACATTCACATTACCTTCATGTTCATTATAACTCATATTCTTTGTATGTAATACAGGTATAATTATATCAACATAATTTTTAAACATTGATTGTTTTTTTGACAATATTAATATGTTATTTTGTGTTTCAAAAGTAATATCTGTGTTAAAAATAAAAGGAATCTCTTGAGATGCAATCAATCTTTCTATACACTGAAAATTTTTCAAACTAATATTATTAAGTTTACCAACATCTAATAAACATTCATCAAAAACTAAATATGTATTATTTGCTAATTGTAACTTTCCTTTTTTTAATTCACCACATTTATGATCCATTACAGATACTAAATATTCGCTACTTAACTTCATTAATAAAAGAGGAATATATCTATGTAATGGAATTAAATTTTTAATCATTCTATTCATTTTTCTAGCATATTTAGGATAGCATTTTTTTGTTTCCTTTTGAAATTTTTCTTGTATATTATAGTTATTGTCAATACTTTTTTGAAGTAAATTTTTTTCATTTTCATTATTAAGTATTTCATCGTTTATATTTTTTATGAATTCATTTTTTACTTCATTTAAATTGTATGTATTATTTTCATCAACACTTAAATTATACTTTGAAATTTTTTCTTCTACATAATCAATATTACAAATATTTAAACTAATTTTTCCCAATTTTAATTTGCTTTCTTTTATATAACTTCCACATAAATAAAAAAAAAAGTAGTAAGCAACTAAAATATCATTTGAGAAGGATCTTGAAATATAAATAAGGAGATGTTTTCTTAAATCATTAATATCTTTAAAGGGACCATTTTCAAGAATATTTGATAATTCATTCGTAAATAATATGCAGTTATTTAAAGGATTAAAGTAATTTATTTTTGTATATTGGAATACGTGAATACAAGAATATTTTAAAAAGTTTTGATCATAAAAAAAATAGAAATTAAAATTTTTTTTATAATCATCATAATCCTTTATTTGATGTTTACGATAAATTCCGATAACTTCAATTATATCATTTAGTTTTAAAAAATTATCAGCATTTTTTCCATTGTATTGACTATTATCATCATATATTTTTATTATACACCCAATTTTTCCTTTTTTCATTTTTTCATTGTTATTTTTATCAATATTATACATTATATTTGATTTATTATTTTTACATTCACCATTCATATTTTCCTTTGATATACTTAATCTATCATTATAATTAGTTTCTTTTAAAATATTTGTATTATCATTATTATTATAGTTAGAACTATTCGTTGAGCAATATGAATAATTATCATTATTACTTGTGTTTTTCATATATTCAAAATCATTTTTATTTTTTAAAAAAATTTTATAATCATTATGATAAGAAGAATAATCACATAATTCTTTGCACCATGAACTTTTATTTCCTGGAATATTCGTACAGAAAAATAAATATCGTTTCCAATATTTTTTAAAATTTGTGTCATTATTATAAAAATATAAATTACCATAATTATTATCTATATAACCTTCCTTTTTGTTATTATTATTATTTGTATATATTTGTTCTTTTTCTTTCTCTTCTATGCATTGTCCTAATTCTTTACCATTTTCAATATATTCATTTTCTTTATAATATTTTTTGAAATTTAATTCATAATATTCTCCATAATCTGTCTTTTCATTATCATCAATTATTTCATAATTTTCTTCTGTATCAATATAATCTTTATATTTAGAACTTTTCAAAATTATTTCTCCGTTTTTTTTATTTTTTAATTTATATATTCCTAAATAGCTTTCAGGAGAAATTATTTGTTGAATCATACAAGTCCACCTAACTAAAGTTGCATCTTTTAGTTCCTCTAGATATTCTATGGAATTTAAGCATAAACAATTTTCTACTAAATCATTGCAAACAAATAAGTTTTCTTTTTTCTTTTTTATGTTTAAATTTACTGATTCATTATTTCTATTTATTTCACTTAAATTTGAATTTTCATTATTTAAATTTAACTTTTTGTAGTTCTCAAGTTCATTATTTGAAACCACCTTATTGTAGTCTTCGTTTTCTTTAACTATATTCTCCTTATTTATATAATTTTTTTTTATTTTATTATTTTCTACTTCATTTTTTATTTCTCCATTTCCTAATTTAATATATTTATTAACTACAATTCCATCATCCCAACAGGAATCAATTTCTTGGTTACCATAAATTTTCATATAATTTACAAAACATTCATCAATTTGTTTTAAAACATTCATTTTTATAATAATTATTAAAAAAAAAAATATACAGAAATGCTATAATGTATTTATATAATAAGACACACTTATTATTTTCTTTTTTATCTTAAAATATTTTTTTTTTTATTTCATAGAGTTCTCTTCCTATTTTTTTTTTTTTTCTTATTTATTATATTTTTATTATATAAAAATAATAACTTTATTTCGCAACTTTTTTTTATCATTATTTTTTAATTGCACTTGTTATTTTAAAATTTTTATCATATTCCTTTATTGTTTTTTTTTTTTTTTTTTTTCTTTAAATAATTTTTAAAAGAAAAATTTTTTTCGTTGGCTTTATTTTTTTACTTTACATTCATATAATGTTTTTTTCGTTTACTAAACATTTCATTTTTTTTATTCAGACAATATATTTATTTTTTTTTGTTTTTATTATGTTTTTAAAAAAAAATAAGTTATATTATATAAAAATATATTTTTTTTTTTAATATTATGAATTCTGTTTAATTATATAAACTTATTTAAATAATTAAATTATAAAATGTGGTGACGATTATATATTTTCTAAGTGAATTTTATATTTAATTAAATCTTTGTACATTTATATATCTTCTTAATGAACATTTTGTATAATAAAGAATATATATATTTATATGTATCAATTAAAATGAATGTTTCAAACAATTTATAAATTCTCTTAATAGTTCATAACTGTGTTGAATTTTTTTAAGAAATGAATGTAATGAATTTCATAAATAAAAAGTGTAGAGATATTTCATAATAATAATTTCTGTGATAAAAACATTTCTATTTATTTTTTATATACTATATGATCTTTATTTTTTTTCCTTTTTTTTTAATATTAAAATAACTTTTAATGAATTACTTTCTCGAAACAATGCAAAATGTTGAAAATGTAAAGCCAGCATTTAAAATTTAAAACTTTATAATATACTTCATTTTTTTTTTTTTTTTCTTTTTTTATGATTAACAAAAATTTGTTATATCTATTAAAACCATAAATACAAAATCTAATATTTATATTCAAAATTTGTTTGTAAAAAATTGCTGATAAAATGAAAAAATATATTATATGTATTATAAAATAAAATGAAATAATAAAAAAAAAAAAAAAAAAAAAAAAAAAAAAGACAATAATTATTTTATATATATTAATGAATATTTATAATTATAATAATAATGGTGAAAATGAGTAAAGAGAAAGAAAAATGTTTTATGAATAATTTAATGTGGTATAAAAAAATATTTAATAAAAAATATGTACGGAAGTAAAAATAATAAAATTTATATTTAAAAAAAAAATAAAAAACATACAAATATCAATGGTAAATCTAATTAAAACTTAATAAAAATATTTAAATAATTTTATTCATTTTATATATACATTAAATTACACAATTTCTTGTTTAAAATTACGATTATGTATTTTATGTGTGTAAATTTTTAAAGATCTTCTGGAATATTTGCAATAATATCTTTTAAGTATAATGATAATCTATAACCTGCTAGAACCATTTGTTTGTTTAATATTCCTTTTAAATTAATAACAAAATGTTGGTCAACCTTAATTTGCATATCTTTATTCACTAGTCTAACAGGTATGTGCGAATAAATATGCTCAATAGCTAATTGATGGGATTCATTTGCAATACTATCTATAAAATCAATTTTATTAGATGGAATTGTTAATTTACTACCAAAATGTTCAGGGGGATACATATTCATCAATACATGTGCTTCCTTTTGCAAAATACTAGGATTTATATGAGGCCAGTGTTTTTTTCTTGAGTAGAAAATGTTATCACATAAATGATGTAGCTTTCCTATTTGTCCATGGTAATTTAAAGTAATGTCTGATCCTCCTTTATCTCCATTAGGGAAATGCTCATTATAAAATGATATTGTATGTAATGGCTGATGGATATCAGCAAATATGTGTATAAAAAATCTTAGGTAAAAATTGTAAGAAAAATAAGTACCATGTCTAGGTTTTTTCTGAACTTGTATTAAAATCTTATAAATATATTTTAATACTCCCATAGCATTATATTTTCCTTTATGAGCATTTAAATAATAATGAGGAAGGAACATTTTCGTAGGATTATATGGAATCTGTACAAAATGCCATTCATTAAATATATCTAATATCTCATATCTTCTAATATCACTTGGGTTAACAGTGCTATGCTCATTTGATTTTATATGATCAGCCCATAATGCACCAGTTATAGGATCATTAAAATCTCTATCTTCTTTATAATTCAAAAAAATTTTATTTAAAATCCTCTTTTCTTTATCATTTAAATTATAATATGCTATTGCACTAACAATCATATGTGGTTCATCTGACCAACAAATATTTTTTTTAATAAAAATAATAAAAAAAAGTAATAATAATGTTAACTTGATCATAATTCAAATTAAAAAAATTAAATAAAAAATATTAATAAGAAAGTGGGTATATTTTCTTACATTAAGAACCTAAATTAATAATAAAAAAACAAATTATAAAGCTCAAGGATACGATAAACTTAAAAGTGTACTTATTATTAATAAAAAAGTTTCAATCATTTAAACACATACAATATTTGAAAATTTTAAAATACTAATGTATATATATCTTAAACATACAACTTATTTAAAGTCTAAAAATTTAAATCTTAAAATATAAACGAATATAAATAGACAAATTGTGAGAAGGAATAATTAAAAAAAAAGCTTAAATGTTATTTTATTTTAATAATGCATTTATAAAATAAATAAAAAGCTTTTTATACTCCTTTATAATATATAAACATAGATAATACATATAAAATTAAATAAATACATACCAAACAAAAAATAATTATTTAAATAAATAATTAAAAATTTTAAATTAACTTTTAAGATATATAAAAAAGAAAATTTTCTTAAATGATAATCTTGTAACGTTGTAAGTTACTAAAATTAAATAAACATGTTAAAAAATGACAAAGTCAACAAAAAAAAATCAATACTACATATTTAAGTTTATATTAAATTTCTTAATTTATAGATTATATTCTTTATTTCTTCTTGTATTTTTTAAGATGAAAAGTTACAATTTGTGCTTTTTATTTTCTTTTATATTATTGTTTACATTAAATATTTATTTATTACAAATAATATATATAATACTTTAATTATGAAATTTTAAAAATAAAATTTTTAAAAAAGTTTCTCTTTATAAGGCTTGCATAATAAAAATGTATATAAAATATTTATAAATGCATAAATAAATTTTTTATATAATAAAAACCTTAAAAGCAAACTATATATATAAAATCAAATCTGTTCTTTTATGTTATTTCAATTTGAAAATGATAGAATAAAAACATTGAATTGTAAAAATTTTAGTAATAAAACATTTGCATGCATAAATATTTCTAAATATATATTTCGCATAATTAATTATTTTTAAATAGTATCTTTGTACATTTCGAAATTCCACATAAGGGTCATTTAACATTGTACACTTCAATTTATTTAAAAAATTACTTTTCCTTTATTAAATAAATACCTTAAAAATATTTTTTTTTTTTTTTTTTTTTTGTATATATTAAAAGATATAAATAATGAATGGAAACACATTTATGAAGAATTACGTAGATAAACAGCTTGCAACTATTTGTTTTTTTATAGTGCTACTTTTTATATTTTTCCCATTTAACATTTATTGTTTTCATAAAATAATACATAATGATAAAATACTAATACTTTGTTTAAATATATAGCTTTAAATTATTATGCACATTTTATTTCTTTTTTAAATAATAAATTGTTATATCCTTTTATTATTTCCACTTGTAAAACAATGAAAATATTTTATAATTTTTTGGAAAAATCTAAATGAAAGTTTAATATTTCAGTAAATTTAAAAAAATGAAAAAGAATTTTATAATAAATAAGATATGAAATATTACAAAAATTAATTATATATGATTAATTATATCGTACAGTAATCATTTAAAATATATCATAAATTAAAATTTGTATGCATATTAAGGAAAAATTAAATTAATAGGATAAAAAGTATATTAAACATATATTTTTTTCTTAAAATACTAAAAAAAATCATTTCTATTAAAAATTATAAATATTTACATAATGCATAATATATATATGATATATTAAAATACTTATTTTACATATTTGAATACATATATATATATATATATATACAAATTTATAAAATACAATGAGTATATTTTTGTTTTACAATTCATTCGTATAAATATATATATATATAATTATGCAAGATCTTTTGGAACATTATCAATCATAATTTTTAAATAACGTGTTAATCTATAACCTCCTAGAACAATTTGTTCATTTAGCAATTTTTTTAAATTTATAACAAAAAAATTGCTTAAAACATATGTAGTTTCTTTATTTAAAGAATCATGAGGAAAATTAGAATAAATATAATCAACTGCTTTACTATAACTTTCGTTCACTATAAAATCTAGATATTCTATTTCATCCATTTCTTTTTCTAATCTATTACCAAAATATTCACGAGGATAACTTCTCATTAAAGAATCAGCTTCATTAAATATTTCATCAAGTGTTATTTGAGGCCATTTTTTAGCTCTTGAATGAAAAACTGTGTCACATAAATAGTGTAATTTATCTACATTGTTATTATATCTTACAGATATATCATTTCCTCCATGATCTCCTTCAAGAAAATTTTCATTATAGAAAGTTATTGTATGTAATGGTTGATGCAAATCACCAAATATATGAATAAAAAATCGTAAATGAAAGTTATAAGCAAAATATGTACCATGATTTTCTTTTTTATTTATATTTTTTAATGTCTTAAAAGTATATTTTAATACACTTAAACCATGTTCTGTTTTTTTATAATAATATTTGTAAAACAAATCAATATGAACTTGTAACGGGTTATATGGAATGTTAATAAAGTGCCATCCATTCATTAAATCTATTGCATCTATTCTTCTCTCATTATTAGGATATTTATAATCAAATGACTTTATATGATCTGGCCATATAGAACCTAATACGGGATGATTAAAATGGTTATCTTCTTTATAATTCATAAAAATTTTATCAAGAACTGCCCGTTCTTCATCAGTTAAACCTCTATATGCAATAGCACTTATTAACATATGGCCTTCATCTGACCAACATGTAATTTTTTTAAAAATTAACAGATTAAATAAAATGAAAGAAAATATAAACCTATTCATAATAATAACTATAGAAAATACAAATATATATATATATATATATAGGTATGTATATATTTTTTTTTTTTCTTTTTTAACGTTGAATGTATTAAAAAAAAAATTGTTATTAATTAGATAATATCTTAGACAATTTTTATTTGGGAATTTTAAGAAAGAAAAAATAAATACGGAGTTTTAAAAATAAATATATATTTTACTATAATTTTTAAATTAATACAAACACTTGCAAAAATTAAAATTGAAAAAAACAAAAGTTTTTATTTGAAAAGATTATTCTTTTAAAAAATATATATTAAAATACTAATGGTTCAAAAAAAATATATTATTCTTTTATAAAAAAAAAATTATAATAAGATTAATCATTTAATATAATTTTTAAAAAAAATAATATATATATAAAAAAATAATTGCATCTGAGTAGTAACAATTTATCTTTACATAAAGAATAAAAAATAAAAAAATTAAAAATATAATTGAAATATCTATATATAAAAATTATTAGTAAACTTAATTAACAAGTCCTTAATTTTCAATATGAGAAAAAAAATATATTTTAAATTGATAAAAAAATTAATTTTTAAATTCAATAAAGATATATATTTTCACATGAAAGAACATTTAAAATATATTTTACAATAAAATTAATAAAATAAAACTAAACATTATTTATACAAAAAACTAAATGCGTAAAAAAAAAAAAAAAAAAAAAAAAAAATTAAAAGCTTGTAAAAAGTGAATTATTCTGAAGTTATAAATTAAAAATTAAGAGAAAAAATAGAAATGTATTAATAGGTAAAAATATTTATATAATTAGATTAAGTTAATAACCGCAAAATGTTTAAAGGAGCGAAATATATAAAAAATTCTTATTAATCAGAATGATGTGGTATAGTAGAATATAAAAAAAAAAAAAAAAAAGAAAAAAATTGAGCAAGAATTGTTAAACGTGTAGCAATTCTAAACTGTGAAAATGAAACTTTTGTTTTTTATCTATAATTTTATATATTTAATGAATACCTATAATTATGAATGTTATTTAATTTCAAAAAAAAATTCAACTTACGTAAATAAAATAAATATTAAAATACTTGGAAGTGTATATCCAGAATCATTTCTTACACATTCTAAAAATATCATCTATAATTCTTTGAAGATAACAAGAAAAAAAAAAAATCGTAAATCTATGCAAATATATTTAATAAATAAATCAAAATTGAAAAAACAAAATGCAGTATTAAAAAATAAAAGTTTTAAACATGGTCATTTTTTAAAAAAAAATAGGTGCACAAATGATATGTCAGAGGATAAAATTAATAAATTTGACACAAAAAGAAAAGTTCATAAAAAAAAGGAAGAAACGTATATACAAAATAATGATAAAAATGTAAGTTTAACAAAAAAAAAAAAAAAAAAAAAAAGATCAAAAAAAGAAAATAAAAATCAAAATGAGTGGCTGTTGAATTATATAAAGAAAAATAAAATAAACAAAGAAGAAAACATTCCAGATGATTTAAAAGATGAACATCATGATTTCCTAAAATATTTCAAGATGCAAGATAATACACTAACTAGTGAACTAAATCCAGAACAAAGTAAAGAAATTATAAAGAGTGATTATTTTAAAAACTTAATGGCAGAACTGAATTTAAAAGAAGATGAAATATTAAGCATGTTAAAAAGAAATGAGAAAGATGTTACTTATTTAATTAATAAAAATCTATCCATAGAAGAAATAGAAAAAAAAGCAAAAAACGAAGATGTACAAAATGAAAAATTATTTGTCACTTTCATGGACAATAGGAGTTTGAAAGTGGGAAATTTTGTTAATTTTAAAAAAATTGGAAGAAAATATAAAGACATAATTAGAGAAGTTATAAATTATTTCTTAACTAAAAAAAAAGATTATATTGATATGATGAAGAATATAGAAAATGCTAATGAAATCGACAATTATATCATTTTATTAAAGGAAAATGTTTTCTTTAAAGATTTTAATAATGAAATATTAAAAGAAATAGTTAAAAAGACTATTATAATGGGATATTTAAATCAAGTATTTTCTAATGATATTCAAAATTTTGAATGGAATAAAAACATAGAAAAATGTATTATGTCATCTATAAATAATAAATATAAAGTAAAAGAAATTATATATTCTAATAATAGCATAAATATAAATATAGAAGGTATGAAAAATAACGATATAGATTCTGATGAATATGATGAAATTGAAAATTCTATAAGAAGTTCTATAGAAGAATATCAGAAAATAAATAATTTAAAAATTCTTTCATATTTTAATATTTTTATCACTATAAGTTAAAAAAAAAAAAAAAAAAAAAAAAAGCATTTCTATATATAATAGTTATGCATAGTGTTATATATACCTCTTTTTATTTATTCTTTTTTTTTTTTTTTTTTGTTTGTATTTTTATGTTTTAAGAATAATTTTATTGAATATTTAAATAGGTTTTTCATGTTTTTAATAGTTTTCAATATCCATATTTTTTTTTTTTTTTTTTGAATTTTTCATATAAATATGATTATAATTTTATTTTTATTATTTTCATATTAAACTTTTTTTTTTTTTTTTTTGTCCAAACTATATGTATAAATATTTTGTAAATAAATAAATCTAATAAGTTATTTTTGTTTTCATTTTAATAATTTTATCGTAATATAACTTTTTTAAATTATCAATATGTTGTTCATTGTAATATGACCAACATATTATCCATCTAATTAATTTCCCACTATATGACTTAAAAATTCTATATTGAGAAATATATACAGGAAATTCGACAGTTTTTACATTTTGAAAATAAAAAAAATTATCAAAATATATATTATTATTTATAATTGTATTTAAAAAAGAAATTTGATTTCTACCATGGATACTATATAATCTCATTGATTTTATTATTTCATTTTTTATTAATTTAACATTTTTAAGCTTTGATACTAGTGTGCTAAACCATATTATATTATAAAAGTAACAACTACTTTCATTAATCATTTTTAAAATAAAACTATATTCTCCTCCTAAATTTTTATAATTTACTTCATTCTGAATTTCATCACATTTTGTTACAATTTCATTAAAACATTTATTTTTATTGAAGCATTTACTTTCCCCTTCATTCATGTTTTCATTTTCATGTTTATTAACATTTTCAGTTACATATTTATTACTATCATTATTATTGTTATAATATTCTTTTTTATTTTTACCAAAATAATTAGAGAAAATACTATTTTGTATATTATCTTCTAATTTATGTTCAATTATATTATTATTATTATTAGTAGTAGTAGTAGTTAAATTTTCTTTTTCCATGTATATATTTTGTTTATCAAAATAAACAACTTCATCTATATTCGCATCTAGCTTTCTAAATGGGTTTCTATTAACTTCATCCAAAAAACTATAAAATGGGGGATTACACATGGAGAAAAAAAATAAATCTGTATTATTAATTACATTTAAAAATATTTTATTCTTATCTTTTTGATATTTCAATATTATATCTTTTTCTTTATTATTTATTAAAATATTAATATAAGAAATTTTTAAGCACTCCAAATTTATATCTACCCCAATAAATGACCATTTATAAATATGATTGCCTAAAAGAGGATATATGCAATTAGCACCTACCCCTATATCTAAAACTTTTACTATACTACCATATAATATTTTTGAATTGTTTTCATTATTATATTCACATATTTTTACTTCTTTTGAATTTTCAAAATTCTCATTTTCTTTTGGAAATCTGTCTAAATTTTCAAGGCTTGCTAGATCTGCTAAAAAATGAATATAATTAACTCTTCCAGGTATACATGGACACAAGAAATTTTTTTTCTGATTTTCTATTTGTATATCTTCTTTTTGATTTGTTAAATTTATATTTAATTTATTTAATTTTCCTTGTATATTTGTGTTTTCCAGCTTTGATAAGACATTATTATGCTCATTATAAGCATCTAGAATAATTTGTTTAAGATTATTAATTTCTTTAGGATTCACAAATATATGCTCATAAATATCTTCTAATGAAAATTTATCAAAAATAGAATCAATTTCATGAACATAAGGTAAGTAAAAGTTAATATCGTAATATTCTTTTAATATAGCTTTACTCAAAAAATAAATTGCAATTGATTTTTCAAAATCATATGATAATTTTCCTCTTTTATTTTTATATAGAAAATTATTTAAAAAAGTATACTTTTTACTTAATTCTTCAAAATTAATAAAGTTATTTTTATGTATATTTCTTTCATGCATTAAATTATTATTATTATTATTTTGTTCTTGAAAAAAAAAATTTTTTTTCTCTTTATGACAATCAGTTATACCTTTAAAAGATATTATATGTTTTTTTCTTTTTTTAATCTTTTTTTTTATCATTCTAGAATTATAAATAGCTATTAAAAATAGGAGAGTAAATATGTAATGTTATAAAAGAAATTTTCAAAAATAAAAATTTGTAGAATCATTTCGCAAATAAGAGATTTATGCTTATAATATTACCAAAATTCAAAAAATTCATTGTTTAAAAGAATATTTAAATTTAATATTTTTAAATTGATCTTATATATATAAATTAAAATTTATAAAAAATAATAAATAAAATTTAAATGATCATTTAAAAAAAAGTTTTACAAAATTAAAAAAAATTAGTAAAAGAGTATATTAAATATAAATTAACAAAAAAAAAAAAATAAAAATAAAATAATTAGTTGTCATAAATGGTTCTATATTAACATAAAAAAAAAATTGTATAATTTATATTTTTTTTTTTAAACTTATATTATTTTTCAATAATCAAGATCGAAACTATATGAATAATTGCTTACAATAATTTTATCTCCTTCCTTTGCTCCTATATTTTTTAGTTTCATATTTATATTCAAATCATCTAACATTTTCATAAATATTTTTGAGCTATCACATTTTGAGAAATTAAAAATATTTGCTTGATTTTCTATGTATTTCCCTTTTATTATGTAAATATTTTCGCTGTATTTATAAATTTTATAATCATAAGGATTGTAATAATCACTATTTTCTATTTTCTCAATATCAATCGGTTTGGGTAATGTTTTCAAAAATTCTTTTAATGTGTTCTGATCATCAATATTTAAAACTATTTCACTCATTGTTTTTTCAACATTTTCTCCAGTTAGTGCAGAAATATAAAATATTTTATCATTATTTAAATTTTCTTTTAAATGATTAATTAGTAAATTTATATTTTCTTTATCATTATATAAGTCAACTTTATTTAAAACAATAACTTCTTTTTTATCTTTGAAACAATCATCATATTTAACTAATACACTTTTTATATTTTTATAATTCTCTATAATATTATTATTATTTATGTCAAACATGTAAATTAGTACTTTACTATTTTTTAGATGTTCAAGGTACTTATATGATATGTTATTTTTTTTTTCATTCAAATTTTCTATTATACCTGGAAAATCAATTATTGTATAATTATTTTTTGGTATATCTTTTATTTCATTGTCATTCATATCATTTTTATATATTTCATTTTCGTTTAATTCATTTTCATTCATATCATTTTTATATATTTCATTTTTGTCTAATTGATTGTCATTCATATCATTTTTATATATTTCATTTTCATTCATATCATTTTCATGTATTTCATTTTTGCTTAATTCATTTTCATTCATATCATTTTCATGTATTTCATTTTCGTTTAATTGATTGTCATTCATATCATTTTTATATATTTCATTTTCGTTTAATTCATTGTTATTCATATCATTTTTATATATTTCATTTTTGTTTAATTCATTGTCATTCATATCATTTTTATATATTTCATTCTTGTTTAATTTATTGTTATTCATATCATTTTTATATATTTCATTCTTGTTTAATTCATTGTTATTCATATTATTTTCGTGTATTTCATTTTTGTTTAATTCATTGTTATTCATATTATTTTCGTGTATTTCACTTTTTGTTATTTCGTTTTGATCTATATTATTTTTATTGAGACCATATTCTGAATAATTGATAGATTCTATTTTTAATTCATCTTTAACTTTATTACATTCAAATATTCCTAAATTTGGAAATTTTGAAGTATAGCTATAATTTGCTATTTTTACATTTGCTTTTGTAATTTTATTTAGCAAAGTGCTTTTTCCTACATTAGGATATCCAATGATACTAAAATCACCAAAAAATATTTTTTTTAAATAAATCTTTTTTTCTTTCATTTTTTCTCCATATTGGCATACAAATGGTATTTTCAAACTTCTAGTTCTAAATGAGTAATTTCCTTTTCCCCCTTTACCACCTTTTGATATTAAAATCTTCTGACCATCAAAAGAAATAAAATTAATAAACTTTTTTTCATCACTATATATAAGAGTATTTATTGGTATATATATATATTCATCTTTTCCGTTTTTTCCAATTTGATTATTGTTACTACCATTTTTTCCATTCTCACCATAATAAAAAGCTTTTAATTTTAAATTAAAAAAATTATCAATTTTTTTATCACCAACTAAGAATACATCCCCCCCTTTTCCTCCTGCTCCTCCTGATGCATACTTTTTATTTTTTTTTTGTGAAAATACTGTAAAACAGCATACACCATCACCTCCATTTCCTCCTTTAACATTTATAATACATCTATCATGAAATTCATTTTTCTTAATCTTTTTATTACAATATATATTATTATATCTTTGCCTTATTGTAAGCTTTTTATTTTTATTACTATTCAAAAAAAATATTTTTTTTTTTGAAAAATTTAAAAAGAAGCTTTTTATAACCTTTTCATAATATATAAACATCAATAAAATAAAAATTCTTCTAAGCATATTTTTGACATAAATATAACATGAATAAAAAAAAAATAAAAATAAAAAAATAAAAAAAACACTTTTTTATATAAAAGGTTTTTTTTAAAAAAAACTTCCTTTGTTATCAACATATTTAATAAAATTAAAATAATTATATTTCTAATATATTCATTACTTTTATGTATAACAAAAATGTTCATGATATTAATAGTTAAATGATAAATTTTTTTCAGTCATTTCTAAAAGAGTATTAAGAAAAAGTAATATGGAAAAAATGTTGTTAACAAAAGTAAAATTAAATCTTGTTAAGTATTTAAAAAAAAATAAAAGTTGAATACTTTAAGAAAAAAAAAAAAAAAAAAAAAAAGATTAAAAAAAAAATATAAAACTAAAAATGTGTATAAAATATTTAAAAGATAAAAAAAAAAAAATATATAATTTTGAAAAAAAAAATGATAATAATAAAGATTGTTATATATAGAATATAAATATAATAAATGTTACAGAAAAAAGGAATAATAGAATATATGTTAAATAATTCAAATTATAAAGTAAGCATATATTGTACATTCTCTAATGAATTAAAATTATTTTTGTTGATTCAAAATTTTGTTAAAATTTTCAATATAACTTATATTGAAATTTGGATATATTTTTGTTATGTTGTTAACTTCATCAAATATGTATTTTTTAATAATTTGTTTAAAAGAGTAAATAATAGAAATATTAATTTTTTTATTTTTTATAATTTCTAATATATCATCCCATGCTTCTTTGTTGAATAAATTATCTGACTCATCTAGGGAAATTAAAATAAATATTGTTTTAAAAAAAAAAAATAAATTGCAATTTTTTTCAAGTTTTATTTCATCATTAATTTCAATATATTTAAAAATTTGAAAACTCAACAATTTTTCTTTTAATAAATAAATGAATAATTTACTTAAAAATAACACCTTTTTTAAGTCATAATTATTGATATTTTTAATATAATTTATAAAAACTGTTTTTAAACTAAATAAAAAAACTCTATTTTTAACATTTGATATATTACTCAATATTTTTTCATAAGCTTCTTTATATTTTTTATCATATAAAAGTGTCTGTATAATTGTTTGAATAACAAAAGGTACATTTTTTTTTTTTTTTAAAAATGTAGATAAATTATAAACACATTCATCTACATTTAAACTACTTTTGATAACTAAAAATATTTTTTTTGGTAATATTCCTTGAATTTTATACTTTTTTAGTAATTTATTGAAATAAATATCATTAGAATTTACTTCTTCCATTAAATAATTCAATTTTTGAACTTTATCTTCTATAGTATTTGTTTTTTTATCATCATTATTATCTATATTATTTATTTTATTATTTTTCTTTTTCTTTTTATCTGAATCTTCATTTATCTTATAATTGTTAAATGTATTTGCAAAAGAAAAATATACAATATTTCTTTTAAAACTATACTTAGTTTCAAATTCATTTAAAACACTGAAAAGAAATTCAAATTTATTTAAAAAGTAAAATTTCATTTTTCCATCTCTTAAATCTTCTATATCTTTAATTAAAAATCTTAACTTGCTTTTTTCAATACTAATATTATTTTTTATAATGAAATTGTCAATTTGTTTTTTCAAATAGTTAGATATATAATTTAAATGAGAAACATCGTCTTTTTTTAATTTTTTACCACATATTTTTAGAATAATAATTATATTATCAACATTATTTATACTAATACTTTCACATAATAAATTAATTACATCTATTATAAATTCAAAATCTAAATAATTTAATGCATAAAACAAGCTAAAACACTTCAATAAATTTCTCATTATAATTTTAAAATCTTGATATTTATCATATTCTTCTTTAGTTATTATTTTTTTTTTATTAACTTTTATATTATTTTTAGGATTAGTGTCATAAATAATGTTTTTATTTTTGTTATTTAATTTTATAACATTATTAACTTTTTCAATATCATTCATATTTAAATTATTATTTAATTCATTTTCCTTCTCAACTTGTATCATTAAATTAATATTATCTTCGTAATAATTTTTAAAAATACCAATTAATACTTTCAAAAAATCCTTAAGTAAATCTTGATACAACAAACTATTTAAAACACATATAATAACTGAAAATATGCATATATGAATGTCAGTAGTATTTACATTTTTAAAATAATTCGATACAATTTTTATTAAAACATCATTAAAAATAACTCTTAACTTTAAGTCACTTAATTCATGAAAATATTTACATATATCTTGTATAATACTTTTTATATTGAACTCTGATGTTTTATTTAAGGAAATAATCAGAAATTTATCTATTTTTTTTGTCTCCTCAGAATAGTTAAGCAAAATTTTCTTATTTTTTCCTTCTATTTTTACTATTTCTTTACTTTCTTTATTTATATTTTTTTTTTTTTTAATATTATCTATATTTTTTAAACTATCCTCTTCATTTTTAGATATTTTTTTTAATTTTTTTTTTTTTTTTTTATCTTTTTTATTAATAATTTTATCTTTTGTTTCTGTTTTATTTTTGCTTTTTTCTAATAAAATAACTTGATTATCAATTACATTTTCATCATTATTTGTTCTCTCTTGGTTGTTGCTTTCACTTGAGGAATTATATTCTTCATCATTTTTTGTTTTATTTATACTACTTTTGTTATTCTTATAATGTTTCTGACATTCATTAAATATTATATCTGTAAGTTTTAACAGTTTTGTATCAAAGCCATCTTTTTCTAATTCTTTAAAAAGTTTCTCTTCATTGTTTTTACTACTATCATTATTTTTTATTTTCAATTTTTTTGATAAATATGATAATAAATAATCATCTTTATCCTGTTCTGCATATATATCATAATTTTGGCTACCATCTCCTGTATCATTTTTTAACTGAATATTTAGATTTTTATTTTCATTAACTTTTTTAGCTTTTTTTAACTGAATATTTAGATTTTTATTTTCATTAACTTTTTTAGATTTTTTTAACTGAATATTTAGATTATCATTTTCATTAACTTTTTTAGCTTTTTTTAACTGAATACTTATATTTTCCTGTTCGTTTTTCTTCGTTTTTTCTTTTTTTGAATTGTAATTGGAACCTTCAGATTCAAAACTTTTTTTTTTTCTAATTATTTTTTTTTTAGAAAAAAGCATTTTATTCCTTTTTTTTTGTTTTCTTTTCATTTTCCTTAACTCTTTTCTACTTAAATTGCCTATTAAAAAGAAAAAAAAAAAGGCATAATTTATAAAAATAAAAAAAGTGAGAAATAAATTAAGAGATTGATTGTTTCAATATAGAAAAACTTAGTATATTACCTTTTTTTATTGCTATGGACATTTTTGAAAATACAAATATATAAACCAAAAGTAATTATTAAAATATATTTTAAATAATCTTTTATAATTCAAGAAAACAAACAAAACTATAATAATTAAAAAAAAAATTTTAATATAAAAAAAGGAAAATAACATAAGGAGTTAAGAATTCTATTTTTTCAAAAATTGATTTTTAATCTTAAAATTAATTAGATTCAAAATAAAACAAAAAATTTGTTCTTAATATATAGATGCATATTTATTTATAAAATTATTAAACATTTTAAAGAATAATAAAAATTAAAAATTATAAAAATAAAAAGAATATAAAACAAACAAAAAATGTTCTATAAAACAAACATATAAATAAATTTTTAGGAATTAATATTTAAAATATTTTTTCTCTTAAAATTTGTAAAAAATATATAAATTTTTCTTTTTTTTTTTTTTTTTTTTTTTTTTGTTCATCGCAACTA